CTCTCTGCACTTTGTCTGTACTGATCAGATGATAACAGCATGAGAACCTTCTATTTCTTTTGATGTAAATCTTACTTTTCCCTTTTGCATAACATTTCCTGTGGCTAGAATGCAGACCACTTAAATTTTCCTCATGCATTTTCACCCTATTTTCTTCCAACCTCTGGCAAAAGGTTCTCTTATTTGTTCTTGTATATTTCGTTATTTTTCTTTTGTTCAGTCATGACACTTCCCTGTTAGTACTATGCTTTTCTGGAACTTGGAAAACTATAAATACAGCTACTCATATACTAGATACAGGGGGAATTCAGATAGTTCACCCATTGATTTAGCTCTTGTCTCTTGTCTCAAAGTCCTCTAGTGTGAGGCATAGTTTTAGTCTTCATCATTTTCTGTATCAGATTGTTTGTTGTGCACTTTGTAAAGTGCACTTTCTGTTATTCACATCACTCTTCCAAGGTTGCAACCACACTGGAAGAACTCACACCTGTTCAGAACCACTCTAGTCTCCTAAGACTTGTGGTTTAGCTCCCCCTCAAACTTAACGAATCACCTGTGATCTTCTCTTAGACACTTCACAGGAGTTTCATCTGGAGCCTACTGTGAGGGGGGTTTCCATAGTTAAACAACACGAGTTCTAACAGTTCTCAGCATCCTGAACAGGTTTCTCAGACACCAGCCTGTAGGCTTAGGTCAACTCAGTCACAGTCAGCACCAGTACCTGTATTGAGCAGAACACACCAATCTGCTAGAATCCAATCGTGCTGCAAAACATCTAATAGTCTAAACACTAGAAGTACAGAATCTGATATTGTAGAAACCTTAGGAATACTATTGGAACAGCAGAGCACTCGAGTCAGTAACAAAGAGGAGGAAGAAGAAGACCTTGTAGCAACATCACTCAATCCCCAAGTAATCAATTTCTGAATTCACAACAAACTGCTGCATTTCACATCCCCAGAATTGTGTACAGGATTGCTAGCTACCCTACAACCTTCCCAAATCACATCAACATCACAACTGACTGTAACTGGCATGCTACATTGTAGAAGAGCACAGTTGTCTCTACAGGAAACAGAGACAGTCCAGTAGCCAGTATCTTCACTCGCACCAGCAACCAGCATATTGTTAGCAACACAGTTCCAATTACAGCAACAGTAACTTGTAAGTGACACACAACTACTTCAGCAACTACAAGTAAACACACAAATTCTATTACAACCAAGACTGGCAGTGCAGCCAATGGCCACATTGAACATTCCAAAGCTGCCTTGTTGTAGAGCATGTGATGCACTGTCCTTTGACAGAACCAAGCCCCAAGAATTGTGGAGGTATTTCACAGACGTAGAAAGTCTTGCAAACGAATACAACATAGTCAGAGCAGATATTATTCTGCTTGCAATGAAGTACATGCCTGTAGAAGTGGAGGATTTGTAGGATAATGCAGATAAAACATCTTGGGATACATTTAAGACAGGAGTAATTGTATATTACCCAAGTCTCAAGACAGGAGCACAATATGCCAGAAGTGACTTGGATGCTGTAGTACAGAAATGGGCAGAGAGAGGAATTATGAATAGGGACAATTTGGGAACGTACCACTGAGAGTTTACACTCATAGCAACCTATTTGACAACTAACAATAAGCTGTCACCAGAGGAATCTTGCCATGTTTTTCTGTATGTGTTCCATGGAGCAATTGTAGAAAAACTGATACAGAAGTTAGAAATCAAGTATCCAGACCATGAGGACAGACTTGTGTACAATATTGTGCAAGTTGTAGCTGTAGCAGGGTTGATCCTCAGGGGATCTACACTCACAGCAGTTAGTGGATCAGATACACTTGCAAGTCAGCCTGTGATTCTGGTCAAACAGGAAGAAGTTAATTTGACAAGCATTGTGGAAGTGCTTCAGAGTCTGCAATCACAAGTAGAGTCAATGAAGCAAGGCCCAAGATCAGGAGGAGGAGGATACAGTAGAGGTTCAGGCAGAGGATCAGGAAACAGAAGTTGTGTGTTTTGTAGAGAATCTGGACATTTTATACACAGTTGCTCAAAAGTGTCAGAATACATTGCAAACAGGAAGTGCACACAGAGCCCAGACAATAAAATTATCATAGCCAACAGAAACACCATTTCTGGGATAGGGCAGACCTTGAAGGAAAAGGTTGATAGCCACTTTCTGTTGTTACAAATGCACTCTGTTAGTTTTGTAGAAGCTGCACCAGTCATAGCACACAGTCCAGGAGCTCCTGTACTAGTTACAATGGTAGAGGTTGATGAAGAAGAAGAGGAGGAGGTGGAGAACCTTGCAGAGCTCAAAAGGCTTGAAGTAATGCTTGGAGAAGCCTGCAAGAAGGTTGTAGAACAATTGAAAGCAAAGGATGTGAAGGGGAAGGGAAAGCAAGGGCATGATTACAAAGTAGCAAAACCCACAGATATTGGACCAGTGCCAGCAAGTATGCACTGAGACACAACTAGGACAAAGGAGTACCTGTACCACTACATTACACCAATTGAGGACCCAGAAATAGCTGGAAGAGTTTTAGATCACAGCTTGGACCAGGAAGTGTGTATTACACAGTAGGAGTTGCTTGCATTGTCTCCAGAGCTTCAGAAGAAGACTTGTGAATTAGTAACATTGAGGCACTGAATGGATGGAAACACTGTGTTCTACAGTGGAGAACCACCCATTGCAGGATCAAACAATAGTAGGCTACAGCAGTATTGTAACACATTGGCAGAAGTTAACCATTTGCTTCCACTCCATACACTTGAGGCAATAGTAGACAGAAAAATTGAGGTAGATTGTGTGCTGGACCAGGGATCAAGCATAAACATAGTTTGAGCTGATGTATGGGAAGCATTAAAGATTCTGTTGGATCACAATATGACTGTTATGCTTGAAACAGTAGATGCTGGTCAGGGATCGACTGTAGGACAGATTCCAAGGTTGTAACTCTCTATGAGAATGCTTCACATAGATATCACAGTACAAGTTGTGCAGAAAGCTCTGTTCAGGATCTTGCTAGGTAGACTGTTCTTTGTGACTACAGAATGTGAAACCAAAGATTTTGTGAATAGGGAGCAGCACATAACACTTCAGGACCTGAATGATCTGTCAAGGAGGTGGTCTCTGTCCACCAGAGTGAGGGCACTGTAATACAAGCTAGAGACGGATTTTTGAGAAGTGTCAAGGAACTGGAAACACTACAATTCTGGGGAGATGTGCATATGACAAGTGGATTAGGAACAAACAAGTGGAAGAGTAATAGTAAGACAATGATTCTATACAGAGGAAGAGACAAAGGAAATAGAGTAAATGCAAGAAAGGATTGCAGTCAACCAAAGCAACTAATCCTTGCATTACAGAACACATACAACAATTACTGTGCTAAACAAGTACAAGATTCTAATGATCAGACAAAGAATAATGCACACATTAATACAATGTATAAAGCTAATAAGTGGAGGAAATTCAATCTGCCAAATCTGTTCAATCTGACAAAAGCAAAATGTTTCAATTGTAGAAAAACAGGACATTTCTCTAAGGAATGCTGCAAACCTCCTACTGAAGCTACAAAGCTTGCATGTGCCAAACATCAGGCTAACATTGTACATAAAACAAATCAAACTGCAGAAAACACAACAAACACATTTATTATTGAAAACCCAAACGAAAACAATGTTGAATTAAAAGAAGGCAATGTTGAAATGAACAATAACACCTATGCTCTTATTCCAAGCAACCAGGACAAACAATTCAAACAATACATTTCCTGGGTATGTACTGAAACTCCTGTAAAGTGTCTAAGAGAAGATCACAGGTGATTTGTTAAGTTTGAGGGGGAGCTAAACCACAAGTCTTAGGAGACTAGAGTGGTTCTGAACAGGTGCAAGTTCTTCCAGCACAGTTGCAACCTTGGAAGAGTGATGTGAATAACAGAAAGTGCACTTTGTGAAGCACACAACAAACAATCTGATACAGAAAATGACAAAGACTAAAACTATGCCTCACACTAGAGGACTTTGAGACAAGAGACAAGAGCTAAATCAATGGGTGAACTATCTGAATTCCCCCTGTATCTAGTACATGAGTAACTGTATTTATAGTTTTCCAAGTTCCAGAAAAGCATAGTACTAACAGGGAAGTGTCATGACTGAACAAAAGAAAAATAACGAAATATACAAGAACAAATAAGAGAACCTTTTGCCAGAGGTTGGAAGAAAATAGGGTGAAAATGCATGAGGAAAATTTAAGTGGTCTGCATTCTAGCCACAGGAAATGTTATGCAAAAGGGAAAAGCAAGATTTACATTGAAAGAAATAGAAGGTTCTCATACTGTTATCATCTGATCAGTACAGACAAAGTGTGGAGAGTTCTGAGATTTCCAGCAGTCTCCTGAGATCAACACTTTGATTGCCCCAATGTCCTATCTGATTGGAAGATCATAGTACTTTGATCCAGGCAATGATGACATAATGGTTTGCTGAGCCACTCACTGTGACACAACTTGTGTTCTGAGCCTGTGATAAGTACATGATCCATACATCCTGTGGAGAAAACAATGTGTGTAAGCCAATTCTGAAACTGCACACTCTTACAGTTCTGTTTGTGAATGCTTGCAATGCAAAATAGTTGGGTGTTCTCAGAGTAGGCTTCTATGAGTCATGTGGGTGTTTGGAATTGATTGCTGTGATTGTCTGCATGTGATGTATGGTTCTTAGCATGATGCTGATTGTTTCATCTCCTAGTGTGTCTGCTTGTGACTGTCTACAGTCACATGGTTGATTTAATGATTGGCAGGCTGAATGTAAGTTCTGTATGTGTGTGAACATTGTTACTTATTCTTCCTGCTTCCTTCTATCACTCTTGCCATGTCATTACTGCTCCCCAGCAAATCTGACAGTAAGTGTTGTACTCTTTTCCACTCTTTTTATACTGATTTTGTGATTTTCCTCAGAAATTGTGTGTACAACAACATAGTAGCCAGTGAGGGAATGGATGTGGATGACAAGCTAGTTGAATGTATGCTTGGTGAGTACCTCTGTGAAGCACATTGTCACTGGCTCATATGCTGATGTGCTCCACAGGTTCTGACACAGAAAACAAACCAGAGGACAAGGTTGTAAAGGAGGAAACCAACAGATTGACCACAGATCCTGAGTCTGAAGATGAAGAGAGCTTAGACAATGACACTCACAATGACAATGATTCAGAGGGCAAGAAGGTTTTGTCTGTGCCAGTGGAGGGTCAATCTGGCAGTAAGTCTTCTATTTCCTGATTTCTGATCTGTCTACTAACACAGAACATCTTGTAGATTGTAAGGTAACAGTGGAGGAGCTCACAAAAGCAAAGGAGGACAAAGCTGCCACTAGGGCTAAAGTAAAGGTAGAGGCTGAGAAAGCAATGTGGGCCAAGGTTAAGGAAGAGGCTCAGGCCAAGGTGAAGAAGGAGAAGGAGAGGGGAAAGGAGAGGGAGAAGGAGAAGGAGAAGGAGAGGGAGAAGGAGAAGGAGAAGGAGAAGGCTACAGCCTTGGCACAGTCAGTGACAAAGCAGAAGGATAGGAAGGAAAAGGAGGGGTCCAAAAGTATGTGTACAAGTATGGCTAACAAATTGTGTACAATAACTAACTGTTTACACAGGTTCTAATACTGTTGCAAATGTAGAAAGGTTGAAGGTGGTAGTAGAAAAGGGGAACAAGCTAGGTATGAATTAAATGTATGGCTAACAAATTGTGTGCTGCTAATGTTGTCTTTGCCTAGTTCCTGAAGAAGTTGTAAAACTGGAAAAGAAAAAGCTAGTCACAGAGAAAGAGAAGGTTGATGTGAGAAGGGATGGGAAGGAGAAACAAGTCATAGTTAGTAAGTACAAGTATGGCTAACAAATTGTGCCAAGCTAATACAATGTTTCTCCTAGTTCCTCAAGTAGTTACAAAGCTGGAAAAGAAGAAAGAGGACAAAAGCAAGGAAAAAGGTAATGTGGATGAGGGGTAGTTGATTTTCTGGGTATACTGACTCCATTTTGTTGTCTAGAGCCAGTACTGGTGCTCCCAAGCAAGAAGTGCACCATTGTAGAGGTGGAGATTCCAGTCTCTAGTAAGGAAACGTGTGTGAAAAACCAGAAGGTTGTGGTGGAGTCTTCAAGCAAGGAGGATGAGGATATCCCTCCAGATTGGGTGGAGGGAATGGTCTTCCACACACCTGAGTGTGTGAAGTGTACAGAGAGGCACAAGGGTCCTCAGGGATCCACTCACTAGACCATAATGGATTGGCTGTGCTACAGTAATCCAAGTAAGTCTGTTTCAATCTTATTTTTGACTGTGTCAATGGTGATCATTTGTGTAGAAAACCAGTGCACAGTGTACATATTCCACCACTCTGAATGTAGCCTGAAGGGAATCCAGCATAAGACTAGGGGGCAAACTGCAGAATTACACAGTACAACTCAGAACCTGTGTTCTGTCATCCCTCCAATCATACATAGTAAAGCTGGAACAGTCTGCAACCTCTACTCACAGATGACTAAGGAGCTGAACAACCTGGAGTTGCAGCTAATGACAATGAAGAATGAGTTTGATGCAAAGATTATGGCTCTGAGGCAGGGTATCAACTTCTTAGCCATGGTAGCAGAAGCCTCTGTAGATAGTAGGGTGGAAGAGTTAGAGTAGGAAATAGAACAGGGTAGAAAGTAGAGAAATAAAAGTCCAGTTTTGTTTTTATGAAAAAAACTGGAAACATAAGGAATAAACAGAATGGAACAGAAATGGATGGAATGGATAGGAAAATAGATAAAATAGAGAGTTAAGAGGAATGGAATGGATGGATGGATATTTTTATGATTTATGTATAGAACTAGTGGAATAGGATGGGAATAGGTGGAAAAGAATCATAATTTGTATAAAGGTTTATATGCTTATAGAATGTTGTATGGGCTTTTTGCAATTTATTGTAAATGAGAAGGAATGTAATGGAAGATCGAAAGTATGTGAATATAAAACATAACAAAGCATAGGGAACTGTAGTAGAACACAGTATTTACAGATTTACACAACTGTTAGGTGTTGCTGGTAGGGAATCAATCCCTATATTTTAGTTTCCAGTACAAGACTGGGAGGGTATATTGAAAAATTGCACATTCTCAGATCAGGAGTCCATGACTTCTGCACTTGGTTCTACTTCAAGTGTAGCATCTGAAGCACAGTTGTCTAGATCATCCATATCCTTGCAACTAGTCCTGTGTGGTTCTGCATCTTCCAGCATTAGTTCTGCAGCCTTGATGAGACACAAGATAGGAACTGTTAAATGTGAATGTAGAAAATACAGAATTAGGCAAAATGCTGTAATACATAACTTGGCCACTACTCTGTCCAATTCTGCTACAACATAAGTGTTTCCTTTTGTTCTTCACACTACTACAAACAGTCCAAGGTATCACAGTTTCATCTTTTGTCCTAAGTTGTTGCTCACTTTTGAATTGTGGATTAGCACTAGTGCACCTGGAGCAAAGTTGTAGTCCTTGATCCAATTATGATTGACTTCTGCAAAATGCTTTGTGTATCTTTTGCAAGCATTCTGAACACATTCCATCATTTGCATAAGGTTGTCTGGTCTCTTCTGCAATTGTTGTGCTTGTATTGCTACCAGTTCCTCTGTTGTTAGTGGCAATCCTTTGGGTGGAACCAAATACATTACCTTGTTCAGGTCAAACAGTAATATTGGCTCTACTCTATGAACAAGGTAATAAGGAGAATATCCAGTTGCTTTCTGAATTGTAATCTGCTCTGCCCAGAACACAGAATGTGTGTACTTATACCAATGTCCAATATTGTCTCCTGCTGTCTTTACAATTGCTTCCTGTACGTCCAAGTGTTTCTGCTCAATAATTCTGTTTGTGCAGGAGTTATATACAGAAATCTGAATATGATTGATGTAGTACTATTCTTGCAAATAGTCCAGCACTACAATGTAAGGTGTTCTGTTGTCTGTTACAAGCTTGGGACATGCCTTGTATCAGTATAGAAGTTCTTCAAAGATGAACTGTCCTATTGTCCTTCCATTCTCTGCACAAAGCATGTGAAACTCCAGATACCCTGATAACAAACAGTGTGTGTGCACAATATATTAGAATCTTCCTACTTTCAGCATAACCTTTGTATCTATGTAGATCTTTTGGAAAAGCAGCACAATCTCCAGAATACTTGGTGGAATCAGTACTTGTTACATCTGCCAAGTCTGACATGCATGACAAGTCCTAATGAAGTACTTAATGTCTTCTGTAAGAGATGGCCACCAGAACCAATCCAGTAAACAGGCTTGTACTACAAAGATTCCCTTGTGTCCTAAGTCTTCATGTGCTATCCTAACCAACTCCCATCTCCTGTCCTTATCTGACACAATCTGATGCTTTCCTTTGGGACCTTGATGCCAGATCTTGTTGTTCTGTACAAAGAACTGTGCTGTGTATTGTATAAATGTCAGAAAATCAGCATCTACAATTCTGCTTGGTTTGTAGAGCAAGCCAAGATACTCTTTCACAGCCTTCAGTCTTGCTTCTTACCTTTCAGCAGTTGGTGATTGTGGAAATCGTTCTGCTGTTGTGTCCAAACCCTCAGCCTCATTACTGTAGATACTACACACAACCCCTATTAGCTCTAGATTGTCACCCTCTACTTTGTCATCCACTCCCTCTACCTCCTTGGTTCCCACAACTCTGTGAGACTCTCCTCCAGGTTCCTGCTCATGTACTCCTTTGTCTGCTACACCTTCTGCTCTTCTGTGTTCCAGATTGGGTCGTTCCAGTTTATCTCAATGTATCCAATTCCAGTTCTGTTTCAGAATAACAACTTCTGGGAATAATCTACATTACAGTCTGCCAGAACGTGTTGCCTGTAGTGTGTCCTTGTTTACTTGAAATGATTCGTCAATAATGTTGTTGTGTGTCTCCCAGCACATTGCATCTGAAACCCAGGACTGTGTTTCTACACACTCGACTAACAAGGCTTCATGTTCTATAGCCCTGCAAGTTTCCAGCTGATGTCTGTGTTGTGTAGATTCTGTTTCTGCTGTGTAAAATCTGTATGACTCGTCAATCCAGTCTTCATAGGTGTTGTTGTCTGGGGGGTCTTCAGGTGCTGCTCAGTGTTACAATAATCTGTCTGTACACTTGAAGTCTGATGCAGGAATGTAGTGGAACTCAAAATCAAATAGCAAAATACTGGCTATCCAGCAATTGATCATAGCATTAGACTGTAGGTCAGGCTTATTAATCATTCCCTTTATGTATGAAGTGTCCATTTCCACAATTAATTTCTTGACACTTATGAGATATATACACAATGTGTGAAGTGCACAATAAAGTCCAAACAGCTCTATTTTTGCTTGAGAATATTGTGCTTGCATTGTGTTCCAGTTAATTGATCTGAATCGATTTATTCTCTGTTTGTGATCCAGGTGCTCCTGACCAATATACCATCCTACTCTAATGATAGACGAATCTACTGCCAAAACTACCAGATACTCTGACTTGTAGTCAATTGGTGTTAGTGTAGGGCAATGTAAAACTGCTTCCTTGAGTGTGTCTATAGATTTCTGTGCTTTGTCATTCCAATTGAATATCAAGTTCTTTTGTGTGAGTCAATTGAGTGGTCATGCTAACTTTGTGTAATTCTGAATAAAAACACAAAGCACTCCTACTGTTCTGAGGAATCCCTGTACTTCTGTAACACTCTTGTAAGGCAGCCAATCCCTAACCTTCTGTATTTACAATTCTTCAGCCTCTCTTCCCAAATATGTCAGCTTATGCCCAACAAATATTACAGATTCGTTACAAAGCATCATCTTCTTTCCAGAAAACATCCCTCCTACAGCTTTCACTCTCTGTAAAATCCAGTTTACATCCATCAGATGCTTGTAAACAAACTTCCATACTCTCTTGTTCTCAGGAAGTGTTTCCTCTGTTCTGTCTGCTTTCTCATATCTTGAGCAGGGTCCAATTACTGGAACATTGTCTGTGTATAGGTTTGTAACATCCAGAATCTTGTCACAAAGAATAAACACTAAGTCATTATACAGAATCTGTACTGAGTTGGTGTAACCCATTAGCAATACTGTCAAGCAAAACGTCCCTAGAGGCATCTGGAACGTTGTCAGATCTCTAGACTGCTCATCCAAACTCCTCTGATCAAACACAATATGCAAATCAAGTTGTGTATAGCATACACAACCTCCACAGCTTTCTACAATTAGTTCCATGTTCAGCAGAACAGCTGTGTCCTTTATCATAACTGTATTTAACCTCTGCAAATCAATAATAAATTGCAAGGATACTCTGTCTTTCTTTGTGACACAAAACCATTGCAATCAATAGGAGGAATTCAACAGTTCTATTGCTCTGTTACACAACTTCTCCTTCAACAACTCAATCACCCTCTTCTCAATTCTGTGTACAATCAGAATGCTTTTCTCTACCCATAGTACATGCTCTACAGTTGGAATTCAAATAGGATTGAAGTACATAGGGTCCAATGTTCCTTGCTCCTCTTCTGTCCACACAAACACTTCTGACTGTAGCATTAATAGGTTTTCTGCAAGTTTCCATTCTTCCAGCCATAGGAATCCTAATCACAATTCTCTAATTGCTTACATCTGTTCTTCTGTAAGTCAGCCAGTAGGCACAAAGGGCTGTGGTATTGTTGGTAATATAGGCATTCTGGCTAGAGGATTGGGGTGCCATTGTCTGACTATGCAGAACTCCTCTGGAAGCACTCTGGGTACAGGGCACACCTTATTTGTAACTTTCTTGTAAGCCCACAAAACTGTGTTGAGTTTGTCATCCAGTGTATTGAGAATTACTGACTTCTGTGACTCTACTGCCTCTATCATCCATGATTCTGTGACTCATGATCCCTCAACTTTCTTATGTTCATTGACTGGTTTGCCTTCGTTTTGGGCATCAGTAGATTGTATTATTGTATTTACTATGTGTGTATATTGCTCAGGAGTGGCAAGCAATATCACTACTTTGTATGTAGAGTTGCATGGTGGATCACTGTTAGCAGACAGAGTTGTGTATGCTTCCTCAAGTCTGTCTAATGTATGTCTGAAATGTTTTACATAGTCTCTACAAATAAACAGTGCTGATTCGTCAATAGCCTTTTTACATACTGTCTGAGGGTTAAAGTGTTCTTTAAGTGCTTTCATTAACTGAGGGATAGATGTATTGAAGTGCATATAGTTTGCCAATATTGTGTCAGCAATG